AATGCTAAATATTTCGTTCTTGTCTAAAATTCTTAACTTTTCACACAATCTGAGAGTGCAAGCTTGTGTTGGCTGCATTGTTTATTCACTAAATCAATGACAATGTTAAACACTGATCTTAATGGAAATGGTTAGTCAGCCTTTAATTTAACAATCTTGATGAAATTATAGGCTTTGCTTGTGCAAATGCCAATACCTGATATTACAGGTACCATACCCATATATATTTGTTTTTGTTAATAAGTTTTTTAGTTGTAAGAAGGAAGGTCCTATACGTAAATTCTATATACTGTGTGGTTTATATCTTCGCTTTTTTCTTCTTGCATTGGTCTGCTCCCTTAAGAATCAGTTTTTGGACAAAAAAAAAAAAAAACGACACATCTTTTTGGAAAATATAAGTATTGAATGCATAGGACTTTTTTCTTGGTTGCAGGTGGTCTTAGTATTGGTTGCCCTGGAAATGCTGGAGCAGCTGGTACATACTTCAATGCAGATTTACTTAGTTTAAGAGTTGGAAATGACAATATCACGACAGAGACGGAGACTCCTTTACTTGATTTCCCTACTACCCCTTTATGGTCAAATGTGTTTGTGGAGAATAATGCAAAAGTGTTGGTTCCTTTGCTTTGGACCAGAGTTCAGGTTGCAGTGATCTTTTTTCGCTCTTGTAATTCTTGATTGGTACATTAGATTGTGTTGTTGCATTTCCTCTTAATACATTGACTGAAATACATTCTTCTTGTGTGTTTATATTATGTCTTTAAGTCATTACCTCTCTTTCTCTCTTTCTTTTTTTTCTCTTCTTTCTAATGGAAAATGAAGAATATATTAAGTCAGAAAGAGAAAACGAAGAGAAGAGGATAAGATACCGCCAAACAAAAATGATGATAACCAAAAAGAAACCAAAAGAAACTAGGAAAAGGCTTGCCGAACTAACTTAAGACAGCATCCATATTCTTTGCAGAAAAGCCAAAATCAGACCCCTAATGGAGCCCTGTGCCTTAGCCCATAAAGATGCCATATGTGTGCTAATATCATGTTGAGTAAAAATTCTGGTATTACTTTCTAACCACAGAATCCAGCATCCAGCAAAGATATCCTCTATGAGCATTTTCTGC